ACCTGAAGGCCCAACTGGCTGAGGTGCGTGAGCACGAGGTCCCTGTGTTCGCATAACTGATCTCGAGAGTGTGCTAGTATAAGCCAGTCGTCGAGATAGTTGAGGAGGCGAACGCCCTGTTCTCTCATGGGAACAAGGGCCCCCTCCGTGACTTTCGTGAAGACACGGGGAGACAGGGACAGCCCGAAGGGCAGGACCTTGTACTGATATGCTCGACCCTCGAACGCAAAGCGCAGAAACGGCCTGTGTCGAGGAAGAATCGAGACATGAAAGTACGCGTCCTTCAGGTCGATCGCTGCAAACCAATCTTGGGGACGGATGCATCCGAAAATGCGTCTCTGCGTGAGCATTTTGAACGGTAGCTTGTGGAGGCTCCGATTCAAAACTAGCAGATCCAAGATCGGTCGTAACCCACCACCTTTTTGGGTACAATGAAGTAGGGACTGTAGTGCCCTGACCCCATATCGGCTGGAGGGACCGGCTCTATCGCGTCCTTCGCCAGTAGGACTGCGATCTCCGCACGCAAGACATGGGCATCGGCTGCTCTCACTGTAGTGGAGTGGATGGCCCGAAACTTGGGGGGACGCCGGGCGAACTGAATCGCATAGCCGAGCCTGATGGTCCGAATGAGCCAGCGAGACGGACTGGGGAGCGCTAACCAGGCTCTCAGAGACCGTGCAAGCGGGACCAAAGGGACTGTAGGCGTACCCGGAGTGGGGCAGCGAGGTGGAACACAGGGACGTGGCTCGGGAGGCTCTCTCTGGGAGGCGGCCCGTAGCAGGGTCTGTGTGTGCTGTGCAGCACTTACCTGGTTCCACGGGGCAGGAGGTGCAGGAGGCGGCTCGGTGGCGTTCTCGAACTGCACACTGCTGCTCACTGGCGACAGAGGAGGCGGATGAGAGTGGTGAGGATTCTGTCCCCCCACTGCTCTCCGGGTCCTCTTCGGACCCAGAGATGGTAAAAACTGCTCTTTTATTGAAAATTTGGGTACCGCTGGTTTTAAGGCCAGCGGCGGAACAAAACGAAACAGAGGATTTTCCACCCGGCCCTCTTCCGGGGGAAGGAGCGATGCGGTCATCGTCTCCTGGAGAGCAGTCCCTTCCATCTCCGGGTCGCCCGTCCTGGGGCCGCTTACCTCTGGCTTTGCCACCCTTTTTGGCGGGGGCCTGGACGGGCGGGGCTGCCTGCCTGCGACTGGCTCCACGGCGCCGTTTAGGTGGAGGCTGCTGCTGCAGCGCGGGAGCAGGGGCAGACGCAGGAGGACGCCCCCGGCGACGAGCAGACTGAGGAGCCGCAGGCGGTGGGTTGGAGGCAGCAGCTGACCGCCGCGGCAGGATATGCTTGATGGCCTCAGTCTGCTTTTGTACAGTCGAGAACTGCTGGGCGAAGTTCTCGACCGCGTCGCCGAAGAGGCCGGTCTGGGACACGGGGGAGTTGAGGAACAGGAGCTTCTCAGCCTCACTCATGTCTGCCAGACACAGCCAGAGATGGCGCTCCTGGACCACCAAGGTGGACATCGCATGACCCACTGACCGCGCGGTGACCTTCGTCGCACGAAGCGCGAGGTCCGTTGCGGCACGAAGTTCCTGGAGAACTTGTGGATCATGACCACCCTCGTGCAGGTCCTTCAGTGCCTTGGCCTGATGGACCTGCAGCAACGCCATGGCGTGCATGGCAGAGGCAGCTTCCCCACAGGCCTTGTAAGCCTCGTCGAATAGGTCCGACGAGTACCTACAGGCCCGGGAAGGAAGACACTTATTCTACTACAGGGGTACTTATTCTACTATTATGATATAACAATCTTACATTTGGGATCAATTTAGCAAGAACATACTGCGTACCTTTTTGAAATAATGGTGAATAATCGTCGCCGAAGAGGCCGGTCTGGGACACGGGGGAGTTGAGGAACCGGAGCTTCTCAGCCTCACTCATGTCTGCCAGACACAGCCAGAGATGGCGCTCCTGGACCACCAAGGTGGACATCGCATGACCCACTGACCGCGCGGTGACCTTCGTCGCACGAAGCGCGAGGTCCGTTGCGGCACGAAGTTCCTGGAGAACTTGTGGATCATGACCACCCTCGTGCAGGTCCTTCAGTGCCTTGGCCTGATGGACCTGCAGCAACGCCATGGCGTGCATGGCAGAGGCAGCTTCCCCACAGGCCTTGTAAGCCTCGTCGAATAGGTCCGACGAGTACCTACAGGCCCGGGAAGGAAGACACTTATTCTACTACAGGGGTACTTATTCTACTATTATGATATAACAATCTTACATTTGGGATCAATTTAGCAAGAACATACTGCGTACCTTTTTGAAATAATGGTGAACCAGTACATACTGTATAGGCTTTATAAATGCATATGTACCCTGTAATTTTTAAAATGTAATCTTTTTAACAAAAGTGCACTGAAAACGAAAACTATTGCAACTTTTGCTTAAATATTGTGGAAAGATACTCTTGTTTCATGTAGCTTGTTACCCCCTTGTTCGATGTAGTTACAGGGTAAGTGTGACATTGCGGGCCGTAAATTAAAGTGGTGCTTGTTACCCTCTTGTTCCATGTTGTTACAAGGTAACAATAAAAATGCATACACACAATCTTATATCACTGACTCGGAAACCTTTATTTATTATACAAGTACCACTTACCCTGTAACCACATGAAACAAGATATATTTCACAGTATTTAAAAAAAATTGCAATAGTCTTAGCTTTTCTTGCCTTGAAACATGTTAGTCCAACTTAAACATCTGCACTTTTGCTATCAAAAAATAAATAAATAAAAGTATAAATAATGCATAGATATGTACCCTGTAATTTAAAAAAAGCCTATACAGTATGTATTGGTACACAATTATTACAAAAAGGTACGCAGTGTATGTTCTCGCTAAATTGCTCCCAAATGTAAGATTGTTGTATCATAATAGTAGAATAAGTTCCCCTTAGTTCTATAATACTTATAGTATAAATATTTTTTTAATTCTCCTGGTTGTTACCCCTTTATTCCCCAAACTTTACATATTGTTCCCTTATACTTACATGCAAGTACTTTATAGGTACACTATAATTACCGAAAGTTACTCTGTAAATTCCTCTTAATTACACAGTACTTTCCAGGCTGTAATCTAAAGCGTTACCGAAAAGAAAAGCAGCCTTATATGAAACTGCTTAGGTGAAGTGTGTAAAAAATTTTTTTTTTCTTTAACTGTTTTCTCCTTTCCTAGTATATCTAAAGACAACATGCAATTTTGAGTTTGTTTTTTCAATATTGTTATTAAGCTTTTATTCATATGCAAATACAAGCTTTAGAATATATACTGTATGTAACTTTTAAAATGATTAAAGGGGTCATATAATGGTACATGCACTTTTACAAGTTGATTGTACTGAAATGAGTGTTGGCAGTGCCTGTACACAACCATCATATAATGATAAAAATCCATCCAGTGTTTTTGTTTTAATCTCCTTATATGTTTTCCCCTGCCTCAAATTGAGCCGTTCGTTTTTGTGACGTCAATAAAACGGACTTTTGTTTGTTTTCGAAGGGAATATTCCCCACGAGCAAGTCAATGCTCTTATGTTTGCCGAATCATTTCTCAGTGGACTGCTTTATAAACGAGGATCAGTGTAAAGCTGGTTTTGCTGAGAAGCTGCACCTGAATAAAGGATCTGAACCTGTTCGTCTTCCTGCTGAACCTTCAGAAGAACTAAAGTGAGTGTAACGTTTTATTAATCTTTATATTAATATTTATATAATCTTTGCAAATCGCCAGCTGCACGCTTCACGATGAATGCGTCGGTTTACACTCAGGGTACATTACAGCATGTTTTCTATGTACAACGTTCTCAATATAATTCATAATCCCACGTTTATAATGAACAACGCGTGGTTATTGTGTTATTGTGTTACAAACGGTGTATGCACAGAACAGAGGGGCGGAGTCAGCGCAGCTCATGATCATTTAAAGTCATATGCACTGAAACGGCGTGCTGAAAACAGAGCTGTTTTTGACCAGGTAAAATAAGTGTTTTCTTACAATACTAATGAGAATTTTTAATTAAAGTATATTACAAACTTTTAATTTAGACCCTAAAAAATCATATTAGCTTGTACAAAAATGGCATTATATGACCCCTTTAAGCTTTTAGTGCTTATATGTTTTATTTTAAGCTTGTTGTGAACCTAAATGAATTACTAAAATAATCCAGTTGAGTCTTTCAGCTGCATTCTCTAACTTATAGCAGTGCTGTTTCTTCTTATCTTGTTGTTTAATATGAAATTTGTGTAAATTTATAATAGAGATTCAACTGTGGATCAAACCCTGAGTTGACAGAGAACTTTTATTGTGAATGTTTGAGAACCCTGAACCTGATCTAAACCAGTTTAGATTTGTTTGGTTTGTCAACTCCAGACCTATTCTGAAAATCTGAATTTGTTTTACCTTTGTGCAACAAAGGTCGGAGCATCCCGACCAGCACAACATAGCAATCATGGCTCAACCAATGACTTAACTTTGAGGCAAAACTTACTGTTAGTCTAAACAATGCCAGATGGGGCAAGTGTTCAAAAAACATGTTTGAAATCTAAAATCACACACTTCACTTTTAAGAGAGTCTGTTTTGAACAGGAAAAATGCCAATGCTAAAAATGGAAAACATGAATTACTTTAAAAACCAGGCTTGGCAGGTAGGCCATTATGTAGTTGGCAGGCCTAAAATTTGTGACTCATAAAAGAGTTTCTAACCACAACGGTCAAAGACATCATTTAAATGCATATAAACTGGAGTCATGTAACCTAGTAAACCTTTTAAACTTAAGTTAGTGACCATTTTTATTCTATTGTCTACATATCCCAATCTTTTTTGGATTCATATTGTAAGATAATCATATTTTCTTGTGTACATGTGCAATTTACTCTCATAAAATATATTTTTACACATTAGACATAGGAGTTTGTGGAAACCAAATATCCAAAATGTTGTAATATGTTGGCTCTTACCTGCAGCAGGAAGTCAAACAAGGCCAGCCGCCCCCACTCTGAATGATGAACTCCCACACATGTTGTAAAGTTCAACGGTACGCGAGTACCACACCTGCTCTTAAGCAGAGTCTGATATTGTGGCCAAGTAAGTGAAAAAGAGTTCTGGTCATTGTCAGCATCAGACAGATGCTGGATGCTGGGATCCCACCATACCACCGGTCTTGGAGATCCAGTGGTGTACCTGTATGGTAGAATCTCACTGTGGAATGTTCTCAACACTGCGGGCAAGCTCCGGTTCAGACCTAGAACTCTGTCCAGGTGAAAGGCGAACACCTCAAACCAGTCATTGGGGCGTTTTATGAGAGCACAGCTTCCGGTCTGGCAGCGTTTGATATGATTGTCCCCTGCAGAAGCAAAAATGCTATATCTATCACTGAATCCAACCTGAAGCACTTGACCATGGCCTGGAAGCCTGGCTTTACTCAACACAGTGCCACTGGAGAGAAGCGCCATCTTTTTCACATCATCCTCACTGAGCCAGGGTAGAGTCTCTGCTTTGGTCTGGTTCCAGTTTTCAATAAAAGCCTCATCAGAGACAGTCTTACACCAGTCAGTGGCTGACTCCTTGATGCCAGCCTTTGCTGGAATCCCATCGTTGTTTTCTGCCCCGGATTTGGGCCTCTTCCTCTCGGTGGGCCCTGCTCGTCTTTCATGTGTTCCCTCTTCTCCAGGGGCCTGTTTCAGTTTTACCACCTGCTGTGTATCAGAGAACTGCCCCACAAGCCTCTTTACTCTGTCCCCATCTGGAGTGCATTTGTGCCTGCATGTCTTGTTATTTGGGCGGAGGCTTTGGATGCTGGCAGCCCGAGGGTCATGTCTGGAGCGAAGAAGATGGATGGTTGTGTTATTGCTATTTCCTAGTCTATTGGCTCGCCCTCGTTTGGCACTGGCTGCAAATGGCTTGACTGGATGCTTGTTTGTGTTCTGCAGATATCGTTCTTTTTTGTTTACTTTACTTTTTGGATGCTTTTTGGTTGATACTTTTTCCTGAACTTGTTTTCCGGAGGAAAATGATAGTTGGTGATGGTTGACCATCAGGAGATGCTTAGCGGAATCTTTCATTTCAAGGTTCTTCCAGGTCCTGCTGTTTTGTCCATATGAAGACACTGGAAGGTAAGGTTTCAGAGACCACTTCTCCACCAGCTTGCTGGGTTTGTTATTGCAGGGGCCCCGTAGATTCACCCTGCTCTCCTCAGATGGGAAGGGAGGAAGGGTGTATATCAGCGCCACTGTCAGACTGACGAAAAAAAGGAAGGCCACCACAAACCGACATTTTAGTCTGAACTTCAACCACACTCTTAGAGCCTGAAAGACACAGCAGAGAAGGCAGTGGTAAAGACAAATGGTACAATAAAGTCAGCAAGCAAGTCGTAAATGAAAATCTCAAAGAGAAAATGTTTTTTGTAAACTACAACAGGAAAAGCAGTTTGGATTTCAGGAAAGGTAGGGAAATCTAAATGAGTGAATGTTTTAAGAGGGAATTCCATTCAGAGGGCTGGATTTTGAACACACAACCTTGAGATTCATTTCACCCTTTTCCATATGTGGATAAGATTGACATTATGCCTACAGATATTTTCCATATGTGTCTGTTCCATAGTACACTCGAGGTTCTACAGTGTCAGACTGGAATGTAGATTGAATTTTTCCAAGCTGTTAGTTTTACATTAATCAGATTGAATACAGAATGTTTTAATGTATACAGAAAATAAAAATGAACAATTCTTATTTTTTATGGAATATTGCAGTATTTATTAGTAATGATTTGTCTGTGCACATCATTATTTTAAAAATAATAATAATCATGCCCTCTATTGCAACTTCCATTTCATGCCGACTTTAACATCCAATAATAAACAGTAGTGAACAAATGAACAATGCCTTTGTGAATGTTATTGTATTTGGCTTATTTTTTAGTTGCAGTCTCTAATTTTCCTGCCCTAGCCATGACCCGTTCCAAACTGGGCGAAGCCTGTCATTTGGGTTTAGAAGAGGTACCAATCCTCCCAAACTGCACACACACAACTGTAAAAACTAAAATAATGCCTGGAAAAAATCACAACATTTTAATAAAAAGCCTAGATTTTATTTTGTTTACTGTGTCAAACAGTGTTAGGTAAACTTAGCAACAGCAAGCAAGCTAGTAGTCAAACTAAAGTGAAGCTCTTTTGAAAAAGTAGTTAACTACAACGTATACATTACAAGCTACTAATAAAAAGAAGCATATATTTAAATATGTATATAGCCGTACTTTGATACAATTTATAACTAAATAATGATAGTAATTAGAAAAAGTAGTTTGTAACTGAAAAAGCTACTCTACTCTGGCATGATACTGACAAAATGTAGAATAGTTACTCCTCAACACTTGAAAATGCAATTTTAGAAAAATGTAATATACAAAACCTTAGAAAATATGCATTTCATATGGAGGTGGGTATAACGAAGTACATGTACGTCGTTACATTTAGCCTACTTGAGTATAAAGAGTAAAAGTAAAAAGAGTGTTTAAATGTACTTTTACTTTAACTCGAGTACATTTCTAATGAAAAAACTGTACTTTTACTTTGTTATGTTGGTTGACGTTCCTCTCATTACTTAATTTTAATGCAATATGTTGTTAAATGCGTAGTTTATTCCAAGAGAGCTGTATCTTTTTTTTCTGGGCATGAGCGATGCTCAATTCACAAATGAATCACTCTTATGAATCGATTCTGTTCAAAGACTTAAATCAAACAAGTTGGCAGAACTTTCTAAATCAGTTCGCTGCTGGCAATACGTTTCCATGTTACCATCCATTATCTCTCCGGACCGGATCAGACTGGGTTTATTAAAAATAGACACTCATTTTTTAATATTAGGAGACTGTTAATATTGTATACAACCCCTCTTCTTCTGTTGTCCCAGAGGCTGTAATTTCATCAGATGCAGAGAAAGCATTTGACCTGGTGGAGTGGAAGTATCTTTTTTTACACTTTCGAAAAATTTGGATTCGGTCGCAAATTTATTTCTTGGGTGAGGTTACTGTATTCTGGCCCCCAAGCTTCTGTCAGGACCAATAATACTCGTTCAGGATATTTTTCCCTTCACCGGTCCACTCACCAGGGATGCCCTCTGAGTCCACTTCTCTTTGCCATTGCTATTGAGCCCCCTTTCTATTGCACTGCGATCTGATTCTTCTATAATGGGCATAAAAAGAATGGGTACAGAACAAAAGGTATCTTTGTATGCGGACCAAAAATATTATCGTTAAAACTACATTGAGAATCTGGAGGCAATTCAGACACCACTTTGGTTAACAAGCTTCCTCTATTTCTGCACCTATAGCAGCAAATTTTGCTTTCTTACCATCATTAATGGATAGGACTTTCTCCCAGTGGTCAGCATTGGGTATTATAATAGTTAAAGATTTTTATATAGATAATGTATTTGCGTCTTTCCAGCAATTACGGGAGAAATGTGCATTGCCCAAACACATTTTTTTCAGATATTTGCAGGTTCGTAGTTTTGTTCGGGACATGCACCCTCAGTTTCCTTGCCTCCCTAATGTCACTCCCATTGACTCCTTCCTCAAACCTATTCATGTTATGAAGGGTATGATTTCACATTTTTATGAAGCAATCTGCTCCCTACATGAGAGTTCACTTGCATCTCTCAGTGGGAGGAGGACATAGGAGAAAATATTCCAGAAGAACAATGGGAAAAGATTCTACGTCGTGTGCACTCCTCATCCTTCTGCGCCAGACAGGGTCTGATGCAGTGTAAAATCCTTCATTGCACCCACTGGACCAAAGTTAGACTTTCTAAAATATATTCTGAGGTAGATCCCATGTGTAATCACTGTCACCAAGCCCCTGCATCTACTGCGCATATGGTTTGGTCTTGTCCATCTCTACACAAATATTGGTCTCTGATCTTTAAAACGTTATCTGAAGTTCTTGGAATTTATGTTAAACCTTTGCCTGTTACAGCTTTATTTGGTACTCTCTCTCTTTCACTTAACATGCCCAAATCTAAGACTAATTTTGTAGCTTTTGTCACTCTTCTGGCAAGACGCCTAATTGTAATAAATTGGAAATCGCCTACACCTCCTACTCATTCTCTATGGATTAATGATATCTTTCATTTCATCAAACTAGAAAAAATCAGGCATACAATGAAGGGATCTTCTGACAACTTCTATAAGATATGGGGTCCTTTCCTAGACTGTGTAGGAAAGTGAAATGGTTTTAAACGCCTGTCTATATCCCCTCTGGCAGTAAAGTATCTTCTTACACGTGATATTAACCTGAATATGTTTTTGGATGACCAAGTTTTTTTTTTTTTTTTTTTTTTTTGGTTTATGTTGCTGTTCTTGTTTTTTTTGTATTTGTATTTTTGTCATTGTTTTATTCTCTCACGCTGAATGCTGTTTGGACGTAATTTGCTTCTTACGACAGATCCATAATTGTATATTTCCTTTTTATTATTGCTTAACTTAGAATTAATCTTATTCTGACTCTGTTTTCTGTATGGTACTTTCTATGAACAAAAGAGACGGAATTAATTACATATAATATTCCAATGGTATCTATAATTGTGTGATGTACTCTGTTTATATGGAAAAATCAAAATAAAGTGGGGATAAATCAGTTCGCGAATCAGTTTGAATGATTTGTTCGGTTTCCTGCACGTATAGGAAGATTTAAAGGGCCCCTATTATGGATTTTTGAAAATGACCTTTCATATAGTGTGAAACATAGCTCTAAGTCAGGGATGGGCAACTTCGGTCCTGGAGGGCCACTGTCCAACAGAGTTTAGCTTCAACCAGGGGCGTCACTAGGATTTTCATTTTAGGGGGGCTAAGCCCCCAATATGATTTTTTTTTAAAAAATGTTGATATCTCTGATCTACATATGTGCATTTTAAGATGTTCTGAAGGCCAAAAAACTTGGATAGTGGGCAGCTGATTATTTTTCTCTCCTCATCAGCATCACACTCTTTTTCTCTTTGTTTTTATCTTGCCCTGTCTCTTCCCCTCCTAAAGCTGAGCTTTGACTGATATAGGCTTTTCATTTTTGTCTGTCAGTGAAGAAAGTAAACATAGGGTCAATTGATAGGTTGATTTTGCCTATGAATCATTTTCTCAGACGCGTTTATTTACTGAAAGCTACTAAAGGTAATTAAGTTTATTAAATGCATTCACAATATGTAGGCTACACATTTATTATTGATCTTATGCCTAATACAGGGCCGTAGACAGGGCTTTATAATCACAGAGGTCCTAAATTTGAGTTTGGTAGGGGGTTCACATTTTTTATTTCTCTGATATGTGCATTTCAAGACGTTTGAAGACCAAAAAAGGATAAGAAATAGCTTTAAAACCATGTCAGTGGGCAGATTATTTGTCAATACCTGCTCTCTTCTCATCTCCATCACTCTTTCTTTTTTTCTCAGTCTCTTCGTCCCTTTCTCTTCCCCTCCTAAAGCTGAGCTTTTTTAATTTACTAAAGGCTACAATTTGTATTATATCCTCAATATGTACACATTCATTATTAATCTTGTGCCTAACATGATGAAAACGGCTTTGTTATTGTTTCTTGTAAACTATAATTATTACATTACATGAGTCACGTTACAGCCTATTTTCAGTTCAAAATGGCGAAATTAGACAAAACTATATTAGTTTGCCTGATTATTTTTTGTCATTCGTTTAACATTTATGACCTAAAAAAAGTAAAATATGAAATGTTAAGTTTAGCTACTTACATCTTATCTCGCACTTGACCGTACGCGTCGAGTCGCACTGTTAAAATTCGCGCTCAGCAGCGTCTGTGAACATAAAGCCTGCCTACTTTGATTTGATTGGTCATCTCAAATATTCTGACATTGACGAGCAGTGACAGACAAATGAGGCTCAGATGAACACACACATGAACACACACACCCTGTTTCTGACGTGCTCTCTGTCGGCGCCGCTGCGGATTGAAGATGAAGAACGCGCTGAATCTGATTATAACAAGACTGAAGCGAACACGAATTTGTGTAGCCTACATTAATCTCACATTTTTAGGGGGGCTAGGCAGAAGTTTAGGGGGGCTGAATCCCCCCTAAAAAGGGCCTAGTGACGCCCCTGGCTTCAACCCTAATCAAACACACCTGAACAAGCTAATCAAGGTCTTCAGGATTACTAGAAAGTTACAGGCAGGTGATTTTTTTTCAGGGTTGGAGCTAAACTCTGTAGGACAGTGGCCCTCCAGGACCGAAGTTGGCCATCCCTGCTCTAAGTGAATGAAAACATCCTGCAAAGTTTTAAATCTGAAAGT